CAGGATGACATCATTGCAGAAGATTGGAACTATGTGCTCAGTGTTATCTGTGACCAGCCTGTGAGGGCTAACAGGGGACCCAGACTTCGTCCCTTTAGAATTAGTGGCTGGGAGCTCACTATTGATCTGGAAACCCAGGGCACAGTGAGTAGATTCTTGTCTTACCATAGGACCTGTCTTCAGAAAAGAAAGCTAGTCTAGGGCCCTGGGATCAGCTTTCACGGACAGGTACGATCTCAGCAACAATTCCTTCCTGCCGCACTAGGATTTGTGCTGTTTCTCACTGAGCCTTACAATGAACTTGGAAGTCCGTGGAACAGGGACAGGGTGATGCAGGTCTGCGGTCAGACGCTACAGAGTGCAATCTTCCCTTTCTCTTACCACTGTAGAAAGTGACCCCCCCCCCCCCCCCCCCAGGGCTACCCTGCTCTGTCAGGAACACCCGGAGCTGGCCTGTATTTCACTGGTTTCCATGCTGAGAAAAGCAAGCGCTCATACAACCACCAAACAAACCCGTTCACGGAGATGCGGTAACCACCTGGTTTGGCCAGGCGGCCGTCTGGGAGACAAGCCTGTGGGTACCGTGTGGAAGAATGCGGGCAGAAGGAGACAATCGGGTTGCTAAGTGGCTACTGTGGTCAGGCCCTAAGATGGATTTCGGGCCAGAGCAGAACAAGAGAAACATCACCCCTGCCCTCAAAGACTTTACAACCTCGCGGGACAACCAGGTGGTTCAAGTAATGAGGAACTGCGGCCCGTGCTGCAGTGGAAGAGAGTGCGCGGCAGGGCCCAAGGGGAAACGTGAACTCAGTCCGGGAGACCGAGAAGCCTCCCAGAGAAAAGAGTATTTAAAGCAAAGATCTGAAGGGTGCCTTGGGGTCCAGAAAAGGAAGGCAGGATTCCAGAAAAAGAAACAGCATATCAAAGATCTAGGGATGAAAAGGGAAAAAACAAAGAGAAAAAAATCCAGGTTTTGGGGGGAATGGTGTGAAAAAGAGGCAGTGGAGGGGAGGTGGGCAGGAGTGGGTAGCTGGGGCTGGGCTGTAGGCGGCCTGAAAAGAGATTAGTGTAAGAGTGCCTGGGTGGCTTGGTTCAGTGTCTGACTCTTGATTTCAGCTCAGGTCATGATCTCAGGGTCTTGAGATGGAGTCCCAAGTCAGGATGCACACTGGGTGTGGAGCCCGTTTCATCTGTCTCCACCCTGCCCCCTGTATGTGCTCTCTTTCTCAAAAAAAAAAAAAAAAAAAAAAAAAATTTAAGGCAGAGGTTAATGTAAGCACAAGATTCAGTTCCAGTTTTACAACGTCAGTTCTGAGGGCCTGGGTGGCTAAGAGAAAGGGACAGAGTAAGTGTGGGTATAGGAAGTCACTTAGAAACCAGTCTAAGGGGAAGATGATAGGATGTCCTGGGTTGAGGGAGAGGCGAAAGGGAAGAAGGAGACAGTGCAAGGGCAGGAGACAGATTGAGGAGACAGAACAGAAAGGATTCCTATCCTCTTCCTCCCAGGTCACATGGCCTGGGCTTCCTTCATTCCACACAGGAATCCACGTGGGGAGAGGACTCAGATACTTTAAAGTCTTCCCCAAGTCTCTCTGGGTTCTAAACCACAGTAAATTAGAGATAATCTGTGAAACGCTGTTCAAAAGCAAAAATATCCTCTTAGAGCTGAGGGGGGTTTCAATTGTTTTTGGCTACACTGGCTTTGTGTTCCAGACTTCCCTAAACCTAAGAATCCCCTGAGGGCTTGCAAACCCACAGATTCCATCACACTACCCTGGGGATTCCCATTGAGTGGGAATCTGTGTTTTCCCTAAGTGATGGCCCCAGGTAATCTTGAGTTCAGACAAATGAGGGGGCTGCTGGCCCCGGGGAAAGCATGCTGATAGTCTCTTGTGGGTGATCTATATTGTGTGATTGCACTCCTACAGAATTCTAGAAAATGCAAACCAATCTATACTGACAGAAAGCAGATCAGTGATTGCCTGGGGATGGGGGGACGGTGGCAGGGGGAGAAGAGAGGGAGGATTACCAAGGGTAGAAAGAAACTTCTGTAGGTGATGGGTGTGTTTACTATCCTGACAGTGGTGATCACTTCGCAGGTGTTATGTATATATCAAAACTTAGAATATGTAATGTGTGTACTACATTGTATGTCATTTATACCTCATTAAAAATATAAAGGTCAGTAACTTCCAATATGCAATCTCAGAGTGTCTTAGATCAAATTTCAGAACACATTCATCAACAACATATTAGCAAGCAGGGGCAAAAACAGTATTTCAATCGGTTTCGTAAATTTGACGAAGTCTCAGTTCTCTCCGTCCATTGAGGGGCTCCAAGAGCATCTGACAGGAAAGTTCCCTGGAGGCAATATTCTACAGCAGGATTAGCTAACCCTCTGGCTGGGGTCGAGAGAGATGGGCTTCTCTGAGGCTGCCGCTACACACAGGGTCATTTATAAATCACAGCTGGGGCTGCATTCTTGTGGGTATTGGGTATCTAGATTCTAACACTCTGTTCCTGGAGGGCCCAGAATGCCTTGCTCCTATTTCTAGCCAATTCCCAAATCTCAGACAGGAATGACTGCACCAGTGAAAGGGCATTAGTAACCGGTACTATGTTCATTATCAAAGTCACTGGTACTGATTGAAGACAAAGATGGCTGAAGCTTGTAGATTCTGCTTAGGGAGTGTGACTTTTTTTTTTTTTTAAGATTTTATTTATTTATTTGACAGAGAGAGAGGTCACGAGCAGGCAGAAAGAGGGGGGAAGCAGGCTCCCCACAGAGCAGAGAGCCCGACGTGGGGCTCGATCCCAAGACCCGAGACCATGACCTGAGCCGCAGGCAGGGGCTTAACCCACTGAGCCACTCAGGTGCCCCAAGGAGCATGACTTTTTGACTCAGGCTCTGACATGTCGTCTACTCACCCATACAGCAACTCAAAAGGGGGAGCAATCAAAGCGTGCATCAAAGGATGACTGGATAAACAAAGCAAGGACATTCTGATACATAGCAGAACACAGAGGGACCTTGGGAATATCATCTAAGTAAAATAAGCCTCATAAATACTATATGATTTCACTTAGATGAAGTATCTCGAGGACCCAAGTTCACAGAGGCAGAAAGGGGGATGGTGGTCACCAGGGGCTGGAAGCATGAGGAGTGGTGGCAAAATGGGGAGTTATTGGTCAATGGGTTGAGTTTCAGTTTATGAAGATACAAAACTTTGAGAAATGGACATTGGTGATGGTAGCACAACAGCATGAATGTGCTTAATGTCAATGGGCTGTATACTTAAAAATGGCTGAGATAGTAAATTCCATGCCATGTGTATTTTACTATAATTTAAGAAAAAAGTTTTTAATGACAAAGGTATTCCTTTGATTCCTATATCTGGTTATTATTCACTCTAGAATGTTTAAAATTATTTCCAAATCAACACATAACTTTGATTTTAGGAATAGTTTTCATTTTAACCAATTATAAAGGTAATACACTTCCACGGTAAGAAGTATGGAAAATGAGAAAAATATCTTTAAGAATAATTTTTAGAAAAATGTAAAATCATGACTCTCACACAAGTATAAAATGAACACATGCCAAAGATTTTATTTAACTCATTATTAATAAGGGAAGGAATATGATGTTAGGACCAGTTCAAAGAAGAATGCACATTTACAGGCATACAGCTGAGAAATTTACAAATCAATGTCGAATTGGTCAGTATCCATTGGGCAATCATCATTTTGGTTGTACTGACTCAAGCTCATTTGCATTTCTTTTTTTCTTTTTAAGATTTATTTATTTATTTTAGAGAGAAAGGGAGGAGAATGTAAGGGGTAAGGGCAGAGGGGGAGAGAGAGAGAGAGAGAGAGAGAGAGAGAGAGACCCAAGCAGACACCCCGCTGAGCGCAGAGCCCCAGGCTGGGCTTGATCCCGCCACAGGACATCAGCACCCTAGCGGGAATCGTGAGTCAGAGGTCCAACCCACTGAGCCACCCAGGCGCCCCCTCATCTGTATCTTTATGAACAAAAGTCACCGACAGGTATAAAGGTATAAAGCAGCTCAAGGACGAGAAACGGACACAGGACCCTATACGGTTAGACACAACTGAAAAGTGTGCCGCACAGGACGCCCAGTAACACTCCTCCTTTTTTTGGCCTCTTCAAACTTTTCCATGGGAATAATAATAATAATAATAATTAGAATCCTCTGAAACCCTTCATCCCAGAAAAATACTCCCTTTGATTCTTTTGAGCGGGACTGGAACTGCAGTGTGGGGCTTTTACTCAGCACGCTGAACACGGTTTCTTAGGCCACCGAAGCGCCGCATCCCGGGACGCGCCGCCGGGCCGGGACCCTCGGCGCACACCTGCCCGACGCATCCCCGGCGGCCCACGGAGGAGCGCGGGCGCCGCCCGCTCAGCCGCGGGTGGCCGAAAGTCAACAGCCCAGAACTGCAAACGGACGTCGGACCCGCCGGGAGTGGAGCGGGGAGAGGCGGGCTCCGCCCGGCGGACGGGCGGGGACCGCAGGGACCGCGGCGAACCCGGGTCCGCCGAGCGGAAGGGCGGTGGCGCGGCCCCCGAGTCAGGTGCGGCAGTACGGACGGCGCCGCCCCCTCCCTCCTCCCCCCATCCAGGACCGGGCGGGCCGCGGGGCCGCGCGACGAGCAGGGGCGGGGCGACCTTCGCTCGGTCCCGGAGAGCCCGGCGGCGCGGCGGGGTGTGAACGCGGCCCGGAGCCCGCCGCGCGCGAGCTGCCCCTCCGCCTTCGGCTCGCACCCCCCACCCCTCCCACCGGGGCGGGCTGGGCCCCGCCGGCCGTCCCCGGGCGCCCGCACCTCCGGCCGCAGTCTCGGCCAGACGCGCCAGCGAACCGGTTTCGATTGGGGCCGGCGGCCGCGCGGGAGGCGGGAGCGGCGGGGACGCGCGGAGGGCCCGCGGAGGCGAGCGGCCGAGAGGGGACGGTCCCGCCGACTTGGCGCGGGCGGCAGGTGCGCGGCCCCCGGGATGCGGACGCCGGCGGTGATGACGCTGGGCATGGTGCTGGCGCCCTGCGGGCTGCTGCTCAACCTGACGGCCACGCTGGCGCCCGGCTGGCGGCTGGTGAAGGGCTTCCTCAACCAGCCTGTGGACGTGCAGCTGTACCAGGGCCTGTGGGACATGTGCCGCGAGCAGAGCAGCCACGAGCGCCAGTGCAACCAGCCGGACCCGTGGGGCTACTTCGACACCCAGCTGGTGCGCGTGGCGCGGGCCCTCATGGTCACGTCGCTGGCCACCACGGCCCTGGGGCTGCTGCTGGCGTCGCTGGGCGTGCGCTGCTGGCAGGAGGAGCCGCGCTTCGCGCTGGCCGGCCTCTCGGGCGCGGTGCTCTCCGCCGCCGGCCTGCTCAGCCTCATCCCGGTCTCCTGGTACAACCACTTCTTGGCGGACCGCAGCGTCCTGCCCGCCGACGCCAGCCCGGTCACGCTGCACGTCAGCTACAGCCTGGTGCTGGGCTACCTGGGCAGCTGCCTGCTGCTGCTGGGCGGCTTCTCGCTGGCGCTCAGCTTCGCGCCCTGGTGTGAGGAGCGCTGCCGCCGCCGCCGCAAGGAGCCCGCGGGCGGCCCGCGCCGGCCCAGCGTCAGCACGGTGCACGTCGGCTGGCCCAAGCCCGCGCTGCCGCCCGCCATCAAGTACTACAGCGACGGCCAGCACCTGCCGTGGCCGGCCAACCCCGGCGCCGCCCGCCGGCCCAAGGCCGGCTTCCCCATGCCGCGGCCGCAGCCCGGCGCCTACACCAACCAGATAGACGTGCTCCGCGGGGAGGACGCCCGCTCCTCCCGCGACTCCTTGGGCAGCACCTGGTCCTGCCACGCCTCGCTGCCCTGCGACTCCGACCTGTAGACGGCGCACCCCTCCTCTCCCAGGCCTGCTCTGGGCCGGTGCTGCGGGGACGAAGGACTCGCCCCCACCACGTCCAGCCCTGAACTTGCCCAGTACCTTGAGGCTGGAAACACCTGACTCGGCGTCCGAAATCCCGGACAGGTTCCTGGAACTGGTTTGGAGGGTGATCTTCCTTTCTTGTGACTCAGCCAGACTCTGGGCGATTAGATCAGCTTGGCTTTGCTTTTCTTTCTGTAAAATTTAGTTTTCCTCCCCAGAGGGATGAGGATCTTCTTACGGAGTGACGGGATTTTCATACTTGAAGCTGCAGGAGATCTAGAAAGGACGCCTTTGCATCGTGTTGACACAGGACCGTGACAAAAAGCCAAAATCAGCAAAGAGAGGCTCAAAAACCATGTTAACACCTTGAAATAGTATCCGGAAAGGCCAGTGAACCTTACATCAATATAATGTTTTTTTGTTTTTCCATCGTATAACTTATTCTCCTGCAGACTCTCAAGAGACCAATATACTGGCTATGTTTGATTGAAGCTCTTAAAATAAACTTGGAGCCATGCAAGCACCAGGGGCTCTTGTGGCTTTTATGGAATAACTTGATTAACTCTTATTTACATTTCTTCAGATGTACATAGGATTTGTCTTTATTACTTACTTTTGGTGTGAAAGTCGAGGTCACTGCAGTTTCCCTCCTAGAAGCCAGGTAGGATTGAACAGACTTACTGCTCCATTCTTGGGCTACCTCACACTAGACATAGGGGACCATAAATTACGTATTTGGTACAGAATGGAACCTGTTAATCACATTAGGTAAAGAACATGGGCATATATCTCTTATTTATAAATAAAAGCTGAACACAAGCGTTTCAGTAGACATACAAAAGCTTTTTTGTCTCCAATACAAACTTGGGGAGTTTGCTCATCATTACTAACGATTTCCTGGCTGCTTGGGCACTGTTTCTGAAATCTAGCACTCAGATCTTTGCCCTTCTTGGCATAAGATTACTAAAAGGAGCCAACGGGCCCCACTTAAATCCTTGATCGCTTTATTTTCAAGTTGGTGCTATTTTCTGAGCAAAGACACTTCTATTGTTTGAAAAAACTAGAAGCACCAGTTTCCAACATGAAGTGAGACTAGAAATCCTCTCCTCTTGTAAAGAGTGGTGCCTAAAATCACAGGCAGCTCTGCATTCCACGAAAGGGACTAAATCTCAGGCAGGGCCCACTCTAATTTCAAGTAGTTGATTTTTTTTTTTAAATATTTTATTTATTTGACAGAGAGAGAGATCACAAGTAGGCAGAGAGGCAGGCGGTGGGGGGGGAGCAGGCCTCCTGCTGAGCAGAGAGCCCGATGTGGGGCTCGATCCCAGGACCCTGAGATTATAACCCTGGCCAAAGGCAGAGGCTTAACCCACTGAGCCACCCAGGTGCCCCTCAAGTAGTTGATTTTAAGGGCGCCTTTCACTGAGTTGAATTTCAAGTTTAAAACCAGCCGGTGGCAGCCCATTCAGTTGCAGGAACATTCAGTTCAGCAAGCACTGGTAACAGCGAGCTACAGCAGAACGAAACAGCACATTCTACTCATTAGCAGGGGAAGGGATAGTACAGATACACTTATATTTTACATCTTTTGGGGACCAAACCTTAAAGTGCAGGCCTATGACCCGGCTATCTCTTTCAAATACAAATTCTCATTGAGTAGGTCTGGAGCAGAGGTCAGAAACGAACTTTTCCTACCAGGTCCCAGGAGGGAGCCACACCTGGGATGCCTGTGGTCCCCCCACTTGGGGCTGCGAGGCTTTCCTGGGAGGGGTCTTCACCCAAATTGCAACCCCAACTGGCGGCAGAGAATCAGACCTTTGAGAGCTTGCCGCTCCAGGGAACAGAGCCGGAGGGAGAAGAGGCAAGCTGCTTTCTCAGGGAACACCTCCAAAGGCAGGCATGAGGGCTCTGGGAAGTCAGGACCTAGCCGATTACAAAGATACCGAGTTCCTAGCAAGTGCCGAATCTACTCATCTTGCTGCATAATAATTCCAGATATTTCTCAGGGAGGCCTGCGTAAAAACAAAACTAGGGCTTTGTACGTTTTCACTTTTCCTCCCCGCCCAGCCATTCGGAGGCTTGTATCCAGAACATAACCCCCCTCTGCTAATTAAGGATTTGTTGTCAGGAATGAAAGCTTTGTTTTGCCCTAGCAACAGAAATGAAACCGAAACTCCTTTTAAAAAAAAATGCAAACTGCTTTTTGCTGTGAAAAAAGTCAAGACAGCATGGAAAGGCACTCCTGAGTCAGGCTGGGATCTGTTGTGGGCACACGGGTCATTCTGTGCCGCAGCAGCAGAGACAATGGCTCTGACACTCAAGACCCTGGACCAGGCAGGAGCCTCCGGAGCTGCTGCTGTGGGCGTGAACTTGGCCTAAACTGAAAACCCATGAGCCAGGCAACCTTCCCACAGGGAAGACACTGCTGGGGAACAGCACTGCCCCCTTGCCTCATACCCACCCGCGCCGCCCCCCCTTGCGCCATCACGACCTGTTCTTAATGAACCTGATCACATACGAAGTATGTGTCCCCAATTAATGGGCGAAGTCTTCTCGAGATTACTCAGCTGTGCCTGCCTGCAGGGACCGAGGAATGTGTGAACGTAGAGCAGACACTGTTCACAGGGCTCCTGCTCTGCCTGTTGGCCAGGCTGGCTCTGACCTAGCAGCATGCCTTCTGTGAGGAGGGGTGAAGATCTCAGCACAGAAGCTGTTGCACATTTGCAGATGCTGTAGGAGGCGCTGTCAAGATGCTTCTAGACCATGCTCTTCTTCATTGCATAGACCATCCAACCAGTAGGTGCGGGGGCACCTGTCGTTTTGTCGGCACATCTGTGGGCACCTTGGAAGAGGCTCTGCCTTTGGGGAACTTACACAATCTAGCATAGCCTGAGAGACATGTACTAGGAAAATGAGGAGAAACAGACCAGCAACAAGGGCTTGAGGAGAAGAGGGTGGTGTTTTAGGGAACGTGGTCAGGAAGGAGGTGACGCTTGAGCAGAGAATGGAAAGAAGGGAGAAGAGCACATTCCGGGCCCAGAGAACAGTGATGGCGCAGCAGGCATGGCACCAGTGTGTTTTGCTTCTATTCGGCTCTAGAACTGGCTGCTAAGGACAGGAAGAAGCTGGCTGTGTCTTTGAGTGAGGCTGGGAAAATCTTGCCCTCTGCCCTTTGTCAGGCTAAGAGCTTGAGGAGGGAATACAGTCTGTTCTGGCACAAACTCAGTCAATCATGTCTTTAAAAGCCCTAGGATCTTCCTTAGGTGTTGTCCTCTCTCAGCTTAAACTCCATTCATGGCTTGGCCAAGGCCTATGTTATCACCATCCCCCCACACACCCTAAATAGCTACTTTCCCCCAACAGCTTCGAGGGGTTCTGTTGGAACATATCACTCACATGTTCAAGTGTGTCATTTTCTTGATGTACTTTCCTGTTTTACCTCTAAATTGAAAGTAAGGGTATGATGGTTTCTATGTCTATTTGTAGTCCCAGAACGGGTGTTAACACTTGTTTGGGAACCATTAGAAATTTAATAAGTTACCTCTAAAATCTGTTTCTGTACCCTAAGTGCCTCTTTGCCTTATACACAACTTGTCTTGTACAGAGTCATTTGTGACCGAGGCCACAGGCCCACAGGGTGTGGAGGAGCATGGACGCTGGCGGGGAATGGGTCATAGGACCAACTTTGAGAACTGGGTTACCATCGGCTTGCAAGGACCAGGCCAACACAACCAGTGCCTCCTCTGGTCCCAACATGTCATGGATGAGATTTTCTCTATGTGAGGGGAACAAAATAAGGGACAACGTCACGACTTCAAATACAAACTTGTGTGAGGGGCCAGGGAGGGGAAAAATACACAAACTTGTGTGCAATTCTCATCCAATCTTCCCCGTGACCACCACGTACATTCCTCTCTCTCCTCACTGCACGCAGTTCAATGACCCCCTCCAGCAAAACTCCATTACAGAGGACTGAACACTGGAAAACAAGGACATTTGTCGGAATCAAGGAAAACACAAGACAAGGCTTTTGGAGTGGAGGACGTGGGGGAGACAATGATGACGAGAGGGCTTCCTTCAAGGTTCACATGTGGAGAGGATGGCTTGAAACAAACAGTAAAGACAACTCTGCCACCCTCCCTCAGGTCCCACTGGGCTGTCTAGCACCTCCTTCCTCTGACAGGCAGGTGGGCGGAGCCATGCTCATAAACCAGCCTGAGGTCCATACAGCCTTTCCAAATGCACTTTTTTTTTTAATTTTAAAACAAATTTTATTTAATTTTTAAATTTCGGTGTTCCAGAATTCATTGTTTACGCACCACACCCAGTGCTCCATGCAGTACATGCCCTCCTTAATACCCACCACCAAGCTCACCCACCCTCTAACCCCCTCCCCTCCAAAACCCTCAGTTTGTTTCTCAGAGTCCAAAGACTCTCATGGTTTGTCTTCCCTTCCAATTTCCCCCAACTCACTTCTCCTCTCCACCTCCTGATGTTCTCCGTGTAATTCCTTACGCCCTACTAAGGGAAACCATGTGATAATTGGGTCTCTCTGCTTGACTTACTTCACTCAACATAATCTCCTCCATTCCTGTCCATGTTAATACAATAATTGGGTATTCATCCTTTCTGGTGGAGGCATAATACTCCATAGTATACATGGACCACATCTTCCTTATTCATTCATATGTTGAAGGTCATCTTGGTTCTTTCTACAGTTTTTGACTGTGGCCATTGGTGCTATAAACATTGGGGTACAGATGGTCCCTCTTTTCACTACATCTGTACCTTTGGGGTAAATACCCAGTAGTGCAACTGAAGGTCATAGGGAAGCTGTATTTTCAATTTCTTAAGGAATCTCCTCACTTTTCTCCAAAGTGGCTGCACCAACTTGTATTCCCACCAACAGTGGAAGAGGATTCCCCTTTCTCCACATCCTCTCCAACACATGTTGTTTACTGTTTGTTAATTTTGGGCATTCTAACTGGTATAAGGTGGTATCTCAACGTGGTTTTGATTTGGATCTTCCTGATGGGTAGTGATGATGAACATTTTCTCCCGTGTCTGATAGCCATTTGTATGTCTTCATTGATGAAGTGTCATTCATGCCTTCTGCCCATTTTTTGACGTGATCATCTGTTTTGTGTGTTTTGAGTTTGAGGAGTTCTTTACGGATCTTGGGTATCAGCACTTTGTCTGTACGGTCATTTGCGAATATCTTCTCACATTCTGTGGGTTGCCTCTTTGTTTTGTTGACTGTTTCCTTTGCTGTGCAGAAGCTTTTGATCTTGATGAAGTCCCAAAAGTTCATTTTTGCTTATTTTTTCCTTTGCCTTTGGAGACATGTCTTTTTTTTTTTTTTAAAGATTTTGTTTTTATTTATTTGAGACAGAGATCACAAGCAGGCAGAGAGAGAGAGAGGAGGAAACAGGCTCCCCGCCAATCTGAGGGTTTTGAAGGGGCGGGGGGTGGGAGGTTGGGGGAACCAGGTGGTGGGTATTGGAGAGGGCACGGATTCCAAACGCACTGTCTTGAGAGTAAAGCTTAAGAATTAGATGAGGCTGAGAGGAGAGAAGTAAATGTGAACAGTGAAGGCTGAGGAAGCAGACTGATCTGTAAATCTGGTAAATGATGGCAACAAACTCCATGTTCTAGTTCCTGGTTTCTCTGGATTTCAAAAGCCTTCCAGCAGTTAAAATAGTAGGAACCTGTTGCATTGCTCCCAACATCAATGATCTCTCCCCCATTGGTTTCCTAAAACAAGTAAGTAGCAAGAGTTTAACTGAATTGCTAGCTAGAGACCTAAAAGGTCAAGTTTTACACAGGGCTCTCTGAACCTAAAGCATGAAACTATGAGCTTTTCTAAAGCTCCTTGTCCCTCTCCAGAAGGAAACCCAAACCTACCACCAGGTTACAGATGTTGACTTTTTACAAAGAAATTCAAATTTGGGGGCACCTGGGTGGCTCAGTGGGTTAAAGCCTCTGCTTTCTGCTCAGGTCATGATCTCAGGGTCCTGGGATCAAGCCCCGCATCAGGCTCTCTGCTCGGTGGGGAGCCTGCTTCCCCCTCTCTCTCTGCCTGCCTCTCTGCCTACTTGTGATCTGTCAAATAAATGAAATCTTAAAAAAAAAAAAATTCAAATTTCACATCTGCTATGGAGTTTATTACTTCGTCTATTCAGGTGGAGAGAAATTGAGAAATTAACACCTAATACGAAGATCATCAGTATTATCTTACAGTTAATATGCCTTTGCTCCAAACAGCTAAGTTTGGGTAACTGACATATGAAAGACAGTTTTGGGCATAGCAGTGGTTAGGGATTGTTAATCTTATGAATGGGTACTTAACATTTATACTTCAGTCTGTCAGTGAAAAGGAGTTCAGAGGTGTCTTGTAAATTCTTGAATTGGGGATGCATAAAGATGCATTAAACTGCATTCAAGCGGGATAATACTTAGGCACACACTCATAGGAGACCAGATAGGAGAAGACATGACTAAGCCCGGGCAGGAGGTAGAGGGAAGGGGTACCTGCGCGACACACAGATTGGGTTGCTGTCAGCCACCCTTTCACCCGGAAAAGGAAATGGTGGAGCGGCTGGGGTCTAGCCAGGAGGCGGAGCTTGTGGAGTAGAAGGCGGGGCCTGTGGAGTAGAAGGCGGGGCCGGTGGTACCATACCAGCGCACAGCCTGCGGAAGTCCAAGGTCAAGGGAGCTGGCTGGAACTCTAGTCTTGGAAGTCTGCTGGACACTTAGGGTCTGCAGGAGGTGAGGGCGACAGCTAAAGTGTGTCCAGACAAAGTGATAATGCCACTGCACGTCATTCATGCACGTTTTCCAGCCAGACTCTCGTTCGTGTCTTTTTTACTCGTTTTTCCACAGATGGAGGCAGAGCCTTGCCAAGGGCCAACTTGGAAGGGAGATGGTTCTTGGGAGCGGTGGCAAGAGAAACCAAAGAGTCACTCTGTGGTGGCGAGGGGTCTCGGGCGCTTTGGTGTGGAAATGGTTTCTCTCAAATACAGCTAAGCGCCCCCAGGAAACTGAATGCTGCTGCGGGTGTCTCCTAGCCTCGGGAAGGGTGGAACCCCTAGCATTTGTTTTTCCTGTCAAGTTGATCTGTACTTGGGAATTTTTATACTTGACTGCAAAGCACAGTCAATTTTATGTTCCATACCCACAGCTATAAGCTTAGGACTGCTCTTAGCCTTGAAGCCTACACAAACGCCTGCTGTAAGAAACGAACTTAACTATGAATAGCCTAGACAAACAGCCAAGCAAGGAAAGACTTCCAAGACAAGTCATGACTATCGTTTGGACTTAGGTTCTCAGCTTCTGGTACTACGCACTAAGCAGTGCACGTATTTTTATATCTTCATGTAATGATTCACTGGCTGATGTAGGTTCTCTTAACCCTCTTGTTACCATTGGAGAAACAGTTTCATATTAAGTGATCAGCCCCAGGTTGCCACTGAATGTTAGACAACGCTCCTGTTACCTGTCTCCCGTCACAGATTCAGTGCCCTTGATTCCTTATGTAAGAGTGTAAAGGAAGATACCATCTGGAGGGCCAAAGGGAGTCCAGGATCTAAGTAGCATCTGTGAGTTTCCCAGCAGGCTAGAGCTCATTAATATGAGCCCCAGTCCACACCGGTAATGCTATGTTGAGGCCCCCAGTGTCTACCTACTTTACTTCAAGCCTTAGACAAATCACTGTCTGAGTTTCTACATCAGTAGAATAAATCCACCTGCACAGCTGATCCTGGGGCAGACAGGGGTTGGGACACCCACCCACTGTGGTAGAAAATCCACACACGCCTTGACTCCCTCCAGACTTAACAGCTTACTGTTGACCAGAAGCCTTACCCATAACAGTCAGTTAACACATATTTTGTGTATTATATGTATTGTATACTGTATTCTAATAAAGCTAGAGAAAAGAAAATATTACTAAGAAAATCATGAGAAAATGCATTCACAGTATTGTACGTACTGATGGAAACCACCTGCACGTAAGTGGGCCCGTGCAGTTCAAACCGGTCTTGTTCAAGGGTCCGCTGTACTTGGTTTTAGAATCAAATGAGAGCATTAAAAAACACTTTTTATAAATTTTCAACAAAAGCGAGTACTAACTTTGTAGTAAAACATCTGAAAGGGAATGATAAAGAACTAATACTTGAACACTTGCTACACTGCAGAAACTTGACCTTTACCTGAGAGGTAAAGATTTAAGAGATCCTTCCCTTCTGTAAGACGAAAAAGCCAGTTCAGAGCAATTAAGTACCCATCAAAGTTAGTGACAGGACCAAGATTCAAATCCAGAACCTCTGACCAGCACTGGGCCAGTCCCACTGGGATCAGACAGTCTCTGCAGATGAGCCCTCACCTAAATCACATGGAGCTTGTGCAGAAATCCGACCCGCCTGTGACTCTGCAGTCCTCCAATCTCTGCCAACAAAACCAATCCTCCAATTTAAAAAGCAGTTATGTTAATAAGTTACCATTTTCGCACATAGTTACAGTTCATTACTTACAGACGTTAAAACAGTACACAGTGCAGTGTCTAAACAATTTTTACTGAGATGTTTCAGCTCCTTTTTCAGCAGGTTAGTCACTTTGTAATGTTAACAGTTCCTGTAGGAAAAGAGACCTGAAGTTAGAGAATACATACTATGATAGTTTTTTCTTGGTTTGCTTTGTTTTTAAAGATTTTATTTTTAAGTAATCTCTACACCCAACTTGGGGCTCAAACTCACAAACTCTAGATCAAGAGTCCCATGCTGCATTGACTGAGCCAGCCAGGAGACCCTTAATATATATACACATATGTATTTATTTTTTAAATTTTTATTTATTGGTTTTTTTTTCTTTAAAGTAAGCTCTATGCCCAATGTGGGCCTTGAACTTATGACTCCGAGATCAGGAGTCACACGCTCCACTGACTGATGTAGGCACCCATGAATACACACTACGTTAAAACAAAGCAAAACGCAGAGGTGGTTGAGTGACTGAGGTTAGGAGAGCTCTCAGAGGGACATAATTTTAGGGGTAACTCCAACTAGACCTAATAACATCCCACCCCACCATAGGACTGAGCCCCTGGTGGAAGTTCACCAAAAGCTGAATGTCTTGATTACTATTTCATGCACATTTCACTTTGGTTTGAACTAGAGATTGAAGAGAGTCTACAGATAAACCAGTTACTGAACACTCATTGGAGACACATAATAGCATCATTCACAAACCACGAAAAGCGCTGTAAGTTAACACTGCCTACTCTCACCAGCTTGGATTTTTCAGAAGGGGCATTCTTCAACTCTATCTCACAATCTGTTCTCCTCAAAGACACTTCCAGGCATACCTGCTCATCATAGGCCTCGTTGACAAAAGTCTCACTGTTCATTAGATTCTCTTCTTCTTGGGCATTGTCTTTATGGCGGGTCGAATTTCTTGATGCTGCTGCACTATTTCTAAGAATCAAAAAAACAGAGTCAAAAGAGTTGTTCCTTGAGGTTGAAGCTGGGGTGGGTCAATGGTTGGAAAGGGCCAACTCATCCCCTATCAGAGGCTACTGTTATGGGTACTATGTTCTGTTTTGTCTTTAGAATCAATCAAATGACCCAGAATGGGTGATACTTGAGTCAATTATGATTTGTTAATAGGCATTCACTTGACTTCCAAAAGAATACAGCTTCTCCACTGGGGGACTCTACTAACTGGGGTCAAGCAGAACAGAATCCAAGGACAAGTTAGTGGCTAGTGGATATTGGAGGCAGGTGAGCTAAGAAAGCAGATTAATGTGGTAAAAAGACCTGCAGTGACCATCAAAACCCCACAGGTAGCATTTCAGTCAGTCTTAACATTAGTAATCTGTTAACCAGGGTTCCCTTGGGCAAAGATACACCATTTCTCTCTCCTGGCCTTTTCTTTAGTCTGTGAGTGCTGGACAGAGACATAAGTTTTCAAACTTCCTTATCTCTGTATTTCTTGATATACAGGCTGCTTAATGTCCCTTCCCAGCATATAAGTGGACCCTAACCAGCACATGTGACCTAATCGGTGTCTTCAGTCCATGGTATTTGTTATAGCAGCCCCGGCAAACTAACCCATCCCTGCCTTTTTTTTTTTTTTTTTTTTAAGTGAACCAACTGGGAACCATGTTAAAATTTGAATTCCTGACTCACTCAGTAGGTCTGGGTTTTCTTCTTCTCTTTTTTTTTTTTTTTAAAGATTTTATTTATTTATCTGATAGACAGAGATCACAAGTAGGCAGAGAGGCATGCAGAGAGAGAGAGAGGGAGGGAAGCAGGCTCCCTGCCAAGCAGAGAACCTGATGCGGGGCTCGATCCCAGGACCCTGGGATCATGACCTCAGCTGAAGGCAAAGGCTTTAACCCACTGAGCCACCCAGGTGCCCCCATCCCTGCCTTTTTTCTCCAGCCATTGGCATGAACTCAGCCTTGTTGGCAAAGAACCTCATCACTTCATCCCTGAGATTGTGCCTCTGGGGCTGAGGCAGATTCTAGCTGCATGAATGCCTCCTACCTCTTACAATATCATTTGCCTCAGGTCCCAAAGAGGTGACCTCTGTTGTCTCTCCAGGTCATCTAACAAGTGAGGGCTGCCTCATCCCCGAGATCCTTCCTCAGAGGATAAGTTCTTAGGGAAGGAGCCATACCTCTAACCCCATGAGTCCTATAAGCCTTCTTTGGAATGAACTCTCCCATGAGGACATTTGAGAGCTGCTCACCTTTTGAATTTGTGTTCTCTTCTGGAACAGACAAATGCTCCCAGAGCGACTAGTGCGACTGCTAAGACAATGGTTAAGCTGAGGGCGATGTAGCCAGGGGCAGGTCCACGTGCTGGCTCTTCACAGAACTCTCCACCATATTCCATCGGACAGCGGCACTTTCTCAGCGGGCCTACCATTGTACAGATTCCCCTCCCGCTACAGAAATCTGTGCTACAGGGTAGATGTTTTGCTCTCTGTAAGTTCTTGGGCTGGACAAGTTCGCCTTTTTCCTTGGTTTCTGAGTTCTTGCTTTCTCTAGCAGAAACTGGAGGGATTAGTGTTTTTCTGACAGGAGAACTCATCCCCTCTGGACCTGGATATCTAGCCTTGGTGGACTTGGGAGCTTGGAAAGGTAGGGAAGCTTCTGGAGTCAACCTTTTTCCAGCCTCTGCATTTTTAGATGTTGGTGTTGAATGAGTTTTATCTGGATACGTACCTACAAAAACAGGTGTGAGTGTGGGTATATACACATATTTGTCAGAAAGGATTACAGAAGAAGAATTCTAGAAGACTTAACCAGATAAGTTTGAATCCGTGAAGTCACCATTACCACTACCTTTTGGCCGACCAAAAAACAATTAAAAACATATAAAAAACTGCATATCCTAAGGCACTTAAACTGTTTGGTTCCAGGACCAGTATATCATACCAATCTATTTTTAAAGGATGGTATGCCCAGTTTTAGTCAAGGCAGATCCCCTCAATTAAAAAAAGGTTTTATTCTATAAAGAATAGTATGGTAGATCTAAGTGGTAAATATCTAGAAAGATTTTTAAGATATATGTTTATCTGTAAATATGATTTTTTTTTTTTTGGTCCAAGTAAACAAGTTGGTTTTGCAAGATCTACAAGCTGCACATCTTCGACCAGATTTGGTGGCAGTAGTGGGCAGGAGGGAGTAGGCAACAGGGTATTTCTAACACCAATCTGAAAGTTAGGTTTGCCTGTGGGTATTTCACCTTATCCTCCATCATTGTTGGCACAAGCATCATTCTGTGTAGAAATCAGCATGAGATACTTGTTGAGGAGTGGAGCCAATTCCTGGTTGTCAGGTTGAGAGCAAGTGAGGGTACGTTAGGCTTCTGGTGTAGTTCTCAAACCAGATGGGGAAGACAATCCATTTCTTGCTCACTGACCTGCCTCTAGAGTCGCTGTAACGTGAGGTTTTTGAGAAAACCGCCTCCTTCGTGAGACCATAGAATCAACTCTGGGAATCAAAATCTATTAATTTTCCTATTTAAGATTGAAATTGCGAGGTCAGTAAGAACTCTTCACTCCAAGATTCCTTTTCCAGTTTGTTCTCTTACTAGTTAGGACAAGTTTCAGTGCCGAGCCCACTGTTGCTTCAGCTCTACAGCTGCCATGACTTGGCTACCACTGGAGTGCTGTAGAATTTGAGCATAGCGGCTACCACAGAATTAGCTACCACAGTTGCTCAGCCAACCGGACATGACAACACCTTTCCATGAAGGCCGTATTTGGCAGTAATATTTCTGTAACAACCATCTACTAGCTAGAGTTTAAGAAGTAACCTGACAATGGTATGTACTCATATGGCAGATTTAGTCACACACTCTTGTATTCTGTAACTCTTTGAGGCAGAAAGTGCTACTTCCACATTAAAAGGGGGAACCCGAACTAAGGTCAAATCGTTTACCCCACCTCCTCCTCCTGGACCATGCTCGCAATGTGATCCATTTAAACGGACAGAATCAGATGTAGTTAAATAGTGTTCTTTCAGACAGCATAAAAACTGTTGAGCCCTACGGAGCTATCACATCGCCCATACTAAAACTTTCCAGAAGGCGTCCATGTAATCTATATCCAACTGCCCATAGTTAGAAGTTTTACGTTGTTCAGTTTAAAAGCGCCAGTGATAAAAGGCAGTGATTGAGAGGATAAAAACCTCAGGGATATTATAGAATTAGATATTAAGAATTAGGTTGAGATATTAAGGATTATTTTATTAAATATCCAAAGTATGTCATGTATGGTGATCAACAGTGGGGTCCTAGATAGGAATTACTCACAGCGCATCTCGTCAGATCCATCCAGACAGTCAGCATGACCGTCACAAACTTGCTCCGTGGAAATGCACTCCCGACCATCCTCACAGGCCCGGGACGGCTCAGAGCACGGGACAGCTTCAACACATTTGCTTTCGTTAGCCAAGTAGTGCCCACTGGGGCATTTACATGTTGCTCCTTCAGGGTTTGGTAAACACATGTGGCTGCACCCTCCGTTGTCTTTGGAGCAGCTGTTACTACCTGTGGACCCCCCCGCCCCAAAATAAACCACTTTGATTTAGATGGTTTCATAAGGGTCTTCTGCCAACATTCTACAAATACGCTATCAGAGTTACAGGACCCAGATGTTTTTTCCAGAGTGGACAGCTTTTCAGTTTAACTCCGCTTGGCCAACCAGGTGCCAAGTGATCAGTGATTCTTCACCGTGAATCACACTGGAGAATTCTAAGAAGGTTCTCTCCGCAAAGCCAAGACTTCAGAAGTTTAAGCTTGACTAACATTAGTTTACAGAGTTTAGCTTTCCAGAACAAAGCAATGGAGTAGCGTTTGCTTAAGACCAATGTAGTCAACATCCCTGGTAGTGGTAGGTGTGGTGAACCATTTGAGCTCACATTGTTGGTGTTCCTCTCGCCTAGGAAAGACTGTATCTATGACTACTTTAACTAAGCCCATCATCGCTCCACTCAAACACTGGAGAAAAGCATCTGAGCACCCCCAAGCTGGACTTTCAATGATGAGTCAACATCACAAGCAGATACACATGACAATAAGTGGAATAAAGATGAGTTCTAGTGCAGAGCTAAAAGATAATTTCAATTATACCAGTTGTAATTCCTCCTACAAGAGAACATAAAATCATACTAAACTCGAGCCCAATATATATACCACTATTTTGTCTCCTAGAAAAAGTAATGGGACTAGTTTTATACCAGAACTATACTATATATAACTGCATGAAGACAAGAGAGCTATGCAGATCTATAAGAACTTGCCAGAGAAGTAACTTAGTGGGAAACACAAAACCATTTCAAGGAGATACTGCAGGGCAGAGGATCCCCTTCAAAGGGAAATTCAACAGGCTTCTGTGTTCTCGTCGCTGCAAAGTTGCTTACCCTGTTGACTAAGTTTACTGTAAACTTTTAAATCCACAATCTTCTGGTCTATTTGGAACCACTGGTCTTCTGAAAGTTCTGCCTTGCCGTACCAAACTTTAGTGATTTGTGCTGAAACAAAAGCCAGTGAACAATCATTAAGAAAAGCAAATTTTAAATTCTTTCGAGAAAAGCAAATTTTAATTTTAAGACAACTTCTTGTGCAAAGAAAATTGCTCACTGTGAAAACCGTCACCCATCTGCATAAACTCCAGTTGAAAACAAGAGTTTTACAGAAGAGACATGTGTTTTTCTAAATTTTTTTTTTTTCTGGAAAGAAATTTCAAGACAAATAAAAATGCTTCCTCCAGAATAAAATCAAGTGAAAGTTATGTTGAGCATTCATATATGTCCAGAAATACAAAGAGAGATAATTAGGATAGGAGACACTTAAATGTAGTCCATGCAAATGATGGGTAATTATTTTAAACATTGTTCTAGAACATATCTGAAAATGGCTTTCTGCAATAAGTGTCACCAGTGGATCTCAAAACAGAGCAAAGTTCTCACCACATAGCTAATAAATTAGCACCTCTGGAGGGTAGGATCTACCCAATCTGTTTTTGCAATTATAACATGGCCAGCCCAACTTGTTAATGGACCAGCATTCAGAAATATTAAAGAGATAGATTTTAAATAGAGTTTTCCAGTTTAACCAAATCTAGACTCTAGCCAGAAACAACATACTAGAACACTGTTGTTTAGGAAAAAAACACTTTAAATACCAGTAATACCCTGCAAGGACAGAATATTCCATAGTTCACCTCGTACTTTCCTGTGTATGAGTCAAGTGAGACATGTACTCATTTTATAGGCAAGGTATTCCAGCTACTAACTGACTGAGCAGTTATCGCACCTGGTTCCAATTCCTGGCCCAGTTCTCTCTGTACTATATCAGAAGCCCCTCAAAAGCAGAGAGCCTCAGATCAAAGCCAGCAATGTCAGGCAGAACAGGATTAAGCATCTTCACATATAAAGAATGACCAAATAAGTCAAAGTTTCCCCAAGTCATAGAATCCCTGTTACACATACATGTTCGATTAGGGACATTGCTTAATTAGTCCTTAAAGAAGAAAGACTTTGCCAAGATCAGTGCAAGACATTGGCAGATTTGCTTTAGAGACCCGGGAGTAAATTCAGATCACAAAGACAATCAGACATTGAATAAGACATACCATTATCAGTTGTCACCCAGAACATCACGCCTTGTCCAATGGTAAAGAGGGTAAGGTCCTCAATGCCTCTGCGGTCTACTCTGTACCCAGAGCCATCTTGTTGAATACTCTCTATGAGGCCTCGCCCTGGAGAGAAAGACTCAGTTAATCTCACTTAGCCCACCCAGCTCTACTCCATCCTGCAGCTCTTTGCGTCTTGTCTTGCCTCCCACCAGGAGGACACTGTCTTCTCTGCATTTTCTGAAGGACAGTTCTTCATTTACTCTACTCTAACAGTGATACACCAAAGATTGGCTCATGCACATTGGTTAAGTTCTCGATTTTATGCCTTCACAAAGGGACAACTGCATGACTCTGTGGGCTTATATCCTACTCAGAATGGGGTTTGTCTGGAAGGTGGTGCAGAATATGTAAACTCAGGCCTAAAACTGTTTGGAGTCATGGCTGAAGAGCAGAAAGCAGAACATCACTCTTTCTCTCTGGCCGAAGTCCTTCAGTCAGGGTGTTAGGGTGTGTTATAATTGCTTACCAGTATCAGCCCAGTAAACTCGGGTTCCCGAATCCGACAAGGTCAGGCCCGCAGGGACCTGGGATTTCTGCCACAGCACCTTCCTCCTGCGGCCATCCATGGAGGCACATTCAATGCTGGACCCGCGCCCGCCATCATCCTGGGCACCCAGGTCTGCAAAGCACATGACTGCTGAGGGCAGGTGGAGCACAACCGAGGCTGGCCGGTAGAGATTTTCACTGACCAGCACAGTGGGATACTGGCCTTTTGAGGAAGCTACATTGATGTGAGGATTCTCACTGTCAATCCAATATATGTTTCCACTCAACCAGTCCACAGCAAGGTCGGTGACTGTTCCCTCCACCGTTAGGATTTTCTTCCAAGAGAGTTTTCCAGTTTCTTTGAGCCTCAGTAGCCTGATATCACCATTATCCAACTCTGAAAGGTAGAGAGCCTTTTCCTGGACTATGTAATCCAGGGATGCAAGCTGGTTCACATTGGTAAAGGGAAGTATCCTATGTTCTGGTAAAGTTGGTTGTCCTAGTAAAGCTTCTAGATTTTTCAGATAAATCTATGGGAAAAAAATTAGGTGGATGGCACCAGCTGAATCTAGTGTAATTCTCCATCTTGATTTTGCAATAATGTCACAATATTGAGAATCTAGGGAAATCTGAACTTATCATCTAAAAACAGATAGTCATTATTTCTCTCCCTTCCTTGGAGCTTTAAGCACTTAAATGTCCTTCAATCCATGTGTTTCAAAGATCGACCCCTTTGTTAAATGCCCTCCCCTTTATTTGGTAAATGTTTGAGCTATAGTTGACATACAACATTTGTCTAAGTTTACCAGGATTGTCTAGTTTACTAAGTTTTTCGAAGGTGTACAATGTGTTGCTTGGATACACTTGTATATGAAAGGCCCTCCCCTTTAAATGAGACTCTACTATTGATATCTTACTGAAACCGAAGTCAACCCTCCATCCCAACATTTGTCATTTTAAAGTGACCAAGTTGTAAATGTGGTAGAAGTTATTAGAAATAACTTATTTGTTGGTATCTCCTTTGACTTAAGAAAAGTTCCCTCATAACTTGTACTTCCCCCTCACCAGGCTAAAACCCAGCAGAGCTGCTGGGACTAGAATTACTCTACATCATCAGCAAGATGCCTGGACAACTATGCCAGACATACCACACTCTCAGAACCCTACCCTGTGCGCTGGCGTACTAGTTCTTAAGGAGTGTCCGCATTTCATAGCCACTTCATTTTTGGTCGTGATAGCTCCCAGGACACAGTGAATACTAAAATTTAAGTTGTATGTGCAGAATATTCCAAGGGAAAGTGGGGCTGGCTGGCTTGGTCAGTAGAACATGCGACTCTTGATCTTGGGGTCGTGAGTTTGAACCCCACATTGGCTGTAGAGATTACTTAAAAAATAAAAAAAAAATTTAAAAAAGAATATTCCAAGGACCAGGACCCCTACTATTATAACTGTTGCCTGAAGAATTCGAATTAGTCAGTCCGAAACAGACTGCGGCCCAGGCACAGACATGTGAGTGAGGCTGCAGACCAGTACCTGCATGATAGCTGTGGGCAACGCGAGGAACAGAAATGCAGAATCCTCGAGCGGAACGCGGGTGGTGACGTCGTCCGTGAGCAGGAGGCCAACTGGGCAACGACAGCTTGCCTTGGATCGCGGGCTCAGAAGGCACAAGTGAGAACAGTGGGCGTCCAGACAGGGATTAGGAGCCTTGGGCTGGAGTACTTCGTGCATTATCTGCAAGAGAGTAGCTGGGTGTCACCGGGCCTTGTTGAATCCTCACAAACAGCAAGTGAATAACCCTTGCTTTTTAATCACGACACAAGGAGGTCACTACTTGGGAAGGTCATACTGGTAGCCTTTTCAGGGAGAATTAGGGGAATTTTTTTTTAAAGATTTTATTTATTTATTTGACAGAGAGAGACACAGCGAGAGAGGGAAAACAAGCAGGGGGAGTGGGAGAGGGAGAAGCAGGCTTCCCGCCGAGAATGGAGCCCGATGTGGGGCTCGATCCCAACACCCTGGGATCATGACCTGAGCCGAAGGCAGACGCTTAAGGGCTGACACTTAAGGGTGCCCCTGGGGGAATATTTCTGAAGAGTACACTGGAGACCTTGAGTCCATGAGGCTGCTGGGAACGCTTGATGAGAACAGCCCTGTTCTTGCCTGTTGTCTTCTTCACGCGCTGTACTGTTCTCGTCTTCATCTCAGACCAGAAGACTTCATCTTCAAACACAGCGACCGAAAAGGGGCTCCTGATTTGTGTTAGCTGCAACATCTAAAATGGGGATGATGAGGTTTCTGGGAGGAGTTTTATACAAGGCATAAGACATCTCACACAGCCTGATACCAAGGAATACTTACGCTAACACCAGTACCATCCAGATTAGCAGAGCCAATACAGTGAAATTTGTCATCAGACCAGAATATCTTCCAGCTCAACCGGTCGAGAGCTATGCTGGTTGGCAAGCCAAGACCTTGACTGATGAGGACTTTCCTGCCACTACCGTCCATCCCTGCTTGTTCTATTTGAGGTTCTCCTCCGATTTCAGACCAGTACATTAACCTGTGTGGACAAAAGTCAGCTGTAGAGTATTACTTCACAGACAATATCGATTCATTCCTTGAAACACTGATTTCTAGCCCAATTATATTTTCCTCAAAATTGGTCTGTGCCATAAGTGAAATTGTGAAGTAAAAGAGTTTCCCTGGAAATCTTAGGGCGCACATTCGTCATCATGTGGGGATAAAATATCACGACGGTTATAAGCAGCCAAGGAACATAGTAGTTCCTGGACCTGGAAAATAGGGAACCTGCCTATTTCTCCTGGGCCGGAGAGCAGGCTGGTTCTATGGGAAGAGGTATACCTCGGACTTCACTGGTCACAGTCAAGGCCAATAGACGCCTCAGTAACTACTGCCAGTTTCCTGAGGACCATGGTAACAGATTCCTGGTAGAAGGTATTGAAAAGGGGAGAAAGCAGATAGAGGGTACCCAGTCCGGATAACCGTTCAGTCCTAAGTTTTGCTCCATCTTGCTCTTACATTCAGTACACGCATGGCCACCACAATGACGGCTGGGCTCTGACAGTTAGGATATGTTGTTTCTAAGTTCCTGGACTTTTCCAGAGAGAAAGGACTCTGGATGGAAGAACCTTGATTCAACCTCACACACAATTATTTTCCAACTATTTTCCCCACTACTACCAAGCCCATTAATGTAAATTAAACACTATTCTTGGGTGCCTGGGTGGCTCATTTGGTTAGGCATCCGACTCTTGATTTCAGCTCAGGTCATCATCCCCGGGTCCTGGGATCGAGCCCCACGTTGGGCTCTGCACTCTGTGGGGAGCCTGCTTGAGGATTCTCTCTCTGCCCTTTTGCTCCCCCGCTTGCCCTTTCTCTCTCTCTCCCTCTCGCAAATAAATAAATAAATCTTTAAAAAAAAAAAACAAAAACACCATCCCTAATTCCATTCTTTTTCCTCCTGCCATTTAAAGCCATAAAAAAAAATATACCTCTGAAGGGAGAATTATGTTCACAGAAGAAAGTTTAGGTGAGCCACCAAGTGTGAACACCTATACCTCACTTCACTGAAATAAAGAACTTTTATCAGAAGCTTTTAAGATTACTATACGTATGGTTGACCCACATCACCATAAGATTTAAAGTCAAATCAGATAGGTTTTTTAGTCCTTCTGTGTTGAGTGAAGAGCACCAAAGTAGAACTAAAGAGGAATAATGCAATTGAACGACTTGACTGGCGTTCTGAACCCTGGACTCACCCATTTAGCGGATCTAAAGCCAAAGACCGTGGCTGAGCCAAGTCATCACCCAGGACAATCGTGTGCTCGCATCTTCCTCTCCACACAGCCGTCAGCTGAATGGCTGAAATCTGGCCTGCTGCCCCATCCACCCAGTAGAGGTTCCTCCCAATCCAGTTGACCGCCACACAGTCTGACTTCATCCCTGAAGAGAGAGCGGAAACCATGCCGCACGTGAATCCAGGCTGAGTCACGGCTTCTACTAGGTTTCAGATCGTAGGCATCAGACTCGAAAACCATGTTAAGTCATCCTACAACTGGTGCACGCGTCTCCATCAGAGCAATTTCTATTTGCAGAGGAGGATGACCATTAGAAATAGAGGCCACTGGCTGACTCGCATGGTCTACTGAGGCGACAATGCAGCTTTCCATCTCTAGCCCACTAGCAGGCCTCAGTCCATTTTAGTGGAGAAGATTTCACTGAATCAACATTTAGACTGTTAACGACCATTTCATTCTGCGTGTTATATGTAATTCGTAAGGGCAGGATGAAGCCCGCATGGGACATACCCTTCACCACGGTCCCTTTCCTCTTTGTGTCCATACTAATCCACTTAATGCTTTCAGCACCGGGATCCATCCAGAAGACCTTCTGCCCCACTAAGTCATAGTCAATGGAGAAGATCATCACGTTCTTGTCCACAGTCGTCAGAATGTCCTCCTTCAAGCTCCTCAAGCCATAGAGGAGGAAGTTGAACTGAATTACCACCAGGGTTTGGTACCTGCCGGATAAGAACTGCATTCAGCGTGTGGCCTTACGGAGCCTGAATGCTGAGCTCAGCCCTGGCAAGGAACCGGAGAGCAAAGCAGACTTTGCCTTCTCGCTGCCAGGGCTGGGGGTAGCCCGGTAGTTCTCCCCTCGATGTGCTGCTTCTGCTAATACCCACCGTTTAAAAACACTTAGAATAAAGGCATGATTAGCATAAACTAGAAAAAAAGACGTTTCTAACTAAGTATTTAAGCTCAGGTGGGCAGGAAAGAAGGGCTTGTCAAGACTTTTGACACTTATTCTAACTTGAGGTAAGGCTGACCTGTGGTTAGAGGGGCCTGAGCCATGGTTCTGTCATCACGACGGCTTATCTGTAGACACCTTCCTAGATCTAATTCCATCTGAAATACTGCATTTAAAAAGGGGATCTGGAGAATGTTCTAGGCTTGCTTGGCAGGCACAAGCAGGCAGGAGCGTTTAAGACTTGAGAAAGAAGGTCTGCGTTTGTATTCCTGGAGAGTCAGGACTTGGAAGTTCCTGACCCAGGGCTCAGGAGACATCAGGGTTCTGGCTTACCTGTTGCTTTACAGGTGTGGCCATCGGGCTCCAGTGAGTAGCCAGGGTGACAGGTGCAGCGGTAGGAGCCCTGGGTGTTGACACAGGTCTGACTGCAAGGCTGACCACCCGGCTTCTGGCACTCGTCCACATCCTTGCAGACCCGGCTACTGCTCCCCAGCTCGAAGCCTTGCTCACAAGCACATACCTGAAGAGATTTCAAGAACATTGAGACTTCCTGAAGACACTGACACATAACCTTGATGAAAACGCCTGACTTTGCTATTAAAAGCACATGGCGATGTACTTGATTTCAGCAGCTCGAAATGAAAAGTTCTGAAAACCAACTTTGCTTTAAATTGTCATTCTCTCAGTCTTATCAATGGCACTGCACACCTCACACCCTTGCTACCATGGTGGGTCCTGAGTTAACTAACGTAGAGGTCCAAGTTCAGCCCAGGACACCTAGAATCCCAGCAGAACCGGTAAGAGGCATGGAGACTGAACTGAACGGGCTGCCTGCCAATGGAGAGGTTACCATGATCAGACATCAGAACACTGTTTTCTTCTAGTTGCCCATCAGAGTCAAGGTCATGATGTTCAGCCAGCTGATAATGTTAGACCAGAACATGGGCAGTCCTCGATTTAAGGGCAGGTCACATTCCAAATACACATATGGAAGACAAGTCCATAAAAATGTCAGGCTTAGTCCCAAGTGTCACCCCAAGCTCACACAGCAGAGTTTCTGGAGGCTGGGTGGTCAAGTTCTAGGAGACACGACACAGGGGAGGAACCTGACAGGACTCAGCAGGAGCCAGGAGGGGCTCAGCGGACACGAGAGGACAGGTCAGGACAGCTCAGCCACGTAAGACTGAGGGTTTCATGAGCAGTCAGGACCGACCGACGAGCTTCCCCCCATCACTAGACTCAGTTTACGGCTGCCGGCGAGCAGTAGCGGCATGAACTCACGGGCCCGCGCGGGGACCGGTAGCAGGTGTGGGAACACCGCGCCCAGGTGCATGCTGACGACAGGCACATCCCACCTTCATCGGAGCCGTCCGCACAGTCCTCCTTCCCGTCACACAGCAGGCGGAGGTCGCGGCAGCCGAGGGAGCGGCACTGGAACTCAGAGCTCAGGCACTTCTCGGTGCGGCCTCGAGAGGATGATGCTCTACTGTTACATCGTCTGCTCCCTGCCGCCCCGAGCATCCCTTCCACGGCAAGGCTGTGCGATCAAGACACCCCCGTCCTGTCAGGGCCGGGAGCACCTGCTGGCTGAGCTGGCTTCTCGCGCCAGGAGGAAACAAGCAGTCGGTGCCCCTGGGAGCCCCGTCCCGCAGGGGGGGCCCCACACTGACACCCAGCCTCGTCGCTGCCGTCCTCACAACCTCTCTGCCCGTCACAGCGCCACACGTCAGGCACGCATTGGTCTCCGCCGGCACAGGACCACTGCCTGGAGCCACAGCGAAGCTTCTTGGGTTCACAGTCCTGAGGGGACAGTGACTCGGTCAGCAACACTGGCACTCAGAGCCCAGGATGGGGTTCTTGGAGGGAGAAAGAGCCTGGCTTACAAGACAATGCTCGAGTCCCTTTTGCAAGGAGGCCAGAGAAGCCCCAAGAATCAGAAAAACATTTTCAGCAGGTATTTAAGTGAAGAGGTCTAGGTAAAGCGAACCTGGCCATGAAGAGAAAAGAAAGGTCTTATTTTGTCAAATCGGGGCATCTTCATGTAAGAAATCTAAGAATAAGGGCACCTGGGTGGCTCAGTGGGTTAAGCCTCTGCCTTCAGCTCAGGTCATGATCCTAGGGTCCTGGGATCAAGCCCTGAATTGGGCTCTCTGCTCAGCAGGGAGCCTGCTTCCCCCTCCCTCTGCCTGCCTCTCTGCCTACTTGTGATCTCTCTTGCTCTCTGTCAAATAAATAAACAAAATCTTAAAAAAAAAAAAAGAAAGAAAGAAAGAAAGAAAAGAAAAGAAAAGAAAAAAGAAAAGAAATCTAGGAATAAAAATGATAAGAATGTGCTCTAGAAACTTTTCTTTAGAATTCCTTTGCCATTTGGGGTCAGCTGGGTGGCTCAGCTGGTGAAGCGTCTCCCTTCAGCTCAGATCATGATCTCAGGGTCCTGGGATCAAGTCCCGCTTCACGCTCCCTGCTCAGTGGCAAGTGTGCTTCTCCCTCTGCCTCTCCCTTTTCCCCTGCTCTCGCTCTCAAATAAATAAATAAAATCTTTAAGAAAAAAAAAGAAGAATTCCTTTGCCATTTCCAAAACCACCCCTACCCCATTGACATTCCAGCCTCCCTTGTACCTCCCCTGACGTGGACACTGTGCTTTGGGGCAGCATGTGCTAGAGGAGGGGAGGGGACATCTGTGCCCCTGCTAACAGCCCTGAACCTTTACAGGCATTCTCACCCCCTCAGGCACCATGAGGCCTATCTCCTACCCATTTGACAGACAAGGAAGTAGAACATGAGGGAGTAAGTGCTTTCTTCAGGTCAAACACAAGCAGCAGGATTCAAGCCAGACTGCACCTCCCACAACGTGGCAGGGTCGTGGCTGCTCAGTGACGGGGAGGCAGAGCTTTGGAGCAGGTCTCTGGGGGGACATTTATACCAGAGCCATGAAGACCCAACACTTGTAAACCTACAGTAAAAACCACTTAAACATTTGCCTTTTGACAAGAGATCTTCTCACTCCAGACACCCTGATGTCGTGATGAGTGGCTCTCTGGGCAGGAGGGATGAGAAGCCTTCTCTGTGCTTGGGTTTTCTCACATTTTCTACAGGAAGACACATGTTCCGGTTGTGAGGAGAAATCAGTTTTTCTGGAGAAGGGTGCCCTCCCTACCTTCTCGTCGGTCCCGTCTTCACAGTCAAAGTCACGGTCACAGAGCCATGCCACGGGCACACACTCTCCGCTGTCCCGGCACTTCACCTCCCCCGACGGACACCGCAGCGGCCAGGCCATAGAGCAGCCATCTTCATCCGAGTGGTCCAGGCAGTCTCGGTTCCCATCGCAGCGCAGAAAGCGTGAGATGCATTGGCCGTTCTCGCATTGAAATTCAAAGGCGCTGCACTTCGCCTGAACTAGAAAACAAAGCTTTGGGTAAGAAGTCATCCAGATGTGGAAGCCATTTGAGGGTACGTGGAGCGGTTTGAAGACTCCCCAGTTTTCTGCTGTCACCTGGGGAACTAAACCCCAGCCCTCAAGGTGGTTGAATAGTCTTAGGCTAGAAAAGTCCTACTAAATAGCCCAGAAGAACCCTGTCTCAGAGAATGAGGGCTGGGGGACAGGCAGGGGGCATACATGGAAGGACACTGGGAGAGGCTGAGGAGTAGGACTCTTCTCTGGGACCTTATTGTCATCCATGAGGAGAGAAAGTCTCTCATGACATCCAACATACCCTACATGTTATGTTCTTGGGCTCAGTTCCTACAGATAGAAGTTGCTTGACTTGGCTCAAGAAAAAAGCTTAGGTCCTACGCAAAACCATAAACATGCACTGAAAAGGAAATTATACCCGGTGTTCCTTCCTGCCTCTCCTGATGTTCTTCTCGTAAACCCAAGTGCACTGATACTGTCCAGCTACTCCATGGCCTCTGCATTCAAATCTGTCATGATACCTCAGCCAGCTTCCTCTTCTTCCCACTCAATTCTCCAAATTCTCTCTTCTGCCCTATTCCCACAATGCGATTAAGGGCCTTGAAACAGGCCACTGGGAAGACTAAAAAGAAAGATGGCATATCCTAACGAAAAGAGGGGAAAGCAATCACACCTAAAGATA